CATTGTCCTTGAAAATAATGATAACAAGCCTGTGACCAATAGTCGAGATACTCAGGAGGTATGCATCTGAGGATGAATATTTTTTTCCTGAAATTACGTAAAATCCTTTTTCTGTTTTTACTTTGTAGTTTTAAAATATTTCAATTTGGGGAGACTAAAAGTTGAAGTAGATGCGGTGGGCCTGTGGTGTATCTAGTCATAAGAGATAAGACATTAATATTTCAAACAATTAAAAGCTTAGCTGTTTATCTTCTTGAGAAATCATCTCATACTTCTTGACATTAATATTTCAAACAATTAAAAGCTTAGCTGTTTATCTTCTTGAGAAATGATCTCATACTTTTGGCAACATAAGCATATATCTCCTATCCCTTGGTGACTAACAAGTTTTATCAATCTGTTTCTATCAGTTTTGTCTTATAAACGTGCAAATGGGTTTCCAATTTTGTTTGATTATCTGCAGTTAAAATTTCATTGCCATTAGCTGTTCCATTTGACAGAAACCCTCCACTCACAGTTGTTGTTTCTTGCAACTCTGAATTTGGAGCTCCTCAGGTGAAATTACAACAGGGGATTGAAATGTTGACCATTTTCAAGAATTATGAAGCCGATACGTCCATCCTTGATGACTTCGATTACTATGAAGACCGGCAAAAGGTGATGCAAGAACGGAAGGCAAGGCAGCAAGCCAGCCTGATGGCCATAACAGGTGGGGAAGGTGAACGTAAGAGTCCTGCTAACATAAATGGTGATTTTATGAAGCAGATGTCGAAGAGCTTTGCACAAGTTGTCCGCTTAGAAGAGAATAGCAGTGAAGCGATCGTTACTGATGGAGGTAGTTTAACCACTGATGCCTCCAGGGATACTGTTGTTAAGCTGGAAGGTGGTATTTCTGTGACTAGCTCTTCACTCCAAACCAGCTAGGAAGATGTCACACCCTATTGTGTTGGAAGTTTGAACCACTATCTATGAAAGTATTTGGTGGTTACTGACTGGAATCATGCTTGCTTCACCTTATTACATTTGCAGGAAATTGCTAATGGTATCATTGAAGTTATTGGAGTTTATAGTGTTTCTAAATGGAAAAGGTTTTTATGAAGGTTACATGACAACATAAAGGATGGCTTTTCATGTATAATGATTCTCGAGTGCGTCGCTTCTATTTGCAGCTTTCTTTGTTCCCCCTGCGCCACACTTGCTTATTTGTGAAGATTCAATTATAACTATCCCCCCTTCCCTCCTTTCTTTTTCTTTTTTCTTTTTTTTTCCCTATTTTAATAATAATTTTGGGTCAGGGTAGTTTATTAGCTCTGTGTCATATTTCAATATTTGTAAAGTTCCCTTGTCTTTTGTGGGCATTTCAATAAAGCAAGCAAGCACCTTGAAATGGAGCATCTTTATTCTTGCCTTGTTCTGGAGGTGATCTCGTGGTTTTGAGAATGACTAAGTCGCATTGCACAGAATTCGAAAAATAAACAATATCATATGTGGTTTATAAGTAGTGTGATTCATTAAGCAATTTATTGTTTATTGGCCAATAAAATCATAAAATCGCAAAATGCTTTGTCAGCTTCATTTTAGAATATCTAAGAGAAGCAGCAGGGATTGCAAATCTCAAGCTATCCTGTCACTTAGAATTCTTGGAAAAAAAGTGAACGTTTCATGACATTGAAGAACCATGAAGAATATCTGGCTAAAGTAGAAGAACTGTGCAGAATATAGCAGGGTTAAACAAACACTTTATGCAATGAGCAGATACTATAAAAGCACAGAAAATCCTCCGTAGAAGCTAAAACATATAACTTATTATATAAACTTTGAACAATATACATAAAATTAAAAAAAAAATATAATTTTTTGGCAAATAAAATCATAAATTTTAAATTATTTCTTCAATCATTATCATTTTCTTCCTCTATGTCTTTGTGCTGCTTTACGATGGATTTGTAATTTACGCTCGAGTTGTGGCTCTTTAGCTCAAGCTTGAGGATCAATTGCTTCAGAAGGAATTACTGCAAGAATATCTTCTCAATCAAGGAAAATAGAGATGATGTGATTAATGATCTTCGGGTGTTATTGGCCTCATTCCAGCATCTAATCATTCACGTTTTTCTCCTTGGTTTTCAAAAATAAAACAAAAGAAACACTAGTTTGATTACATTAATTTAAAAACATTTTTAAAGTTAATGGTGGTGTCTTCTGGTGGTGATCATGCATGACTGACAAAAATTGCTAGTTAAGATAATCAACGATGGCTAGCATTATTCGATAATATTGGCTGGAGTTTGTTGACAACAGTGGTGACTAGTGTTGATAGTTGATGATGGCAATTAATGGTGATGGAAAGTTATGGCTTTTCGTGGAGGTCAGTAGTAGCTAATAATTAGGACTGTGTAAAAGTTTCAGTTCGGTCTGGTCCGAGATGAACCTGATTTTGTTCAGTTGGATAAAAATTAATCTTTCAGGATTAAAAAAACCAAACTCTTTCTTCAGGTTGGATTGGATAAGAGGCCAAACCGAACATTTGAACCACTTGATCCTGTCCGATCCTATAAAGTTATTTAATATAATTATAATTAATTTATTAATTATTATGACAATAAGTATTTTTTCTGTTTTATACTTGTGAAATTATAAATATTAAGTAAAATTTCAGCATTGACCAACCTCAATTTTTTTTATTGGTAAAATTTGTTGTTAACATTTTTTTTTGGTAGAAAATTTGTTGTTAACTTGATGTAATGATTTAGACATATTGATAATTATTTAATTTGAATCATTTATGTTGTAAATGAAATACTTTTTGTTGTTGTTGTTGTTGAAGATTGTTATGTATTTATAATTGTTGTTGTTGTGATAAATTTTATATGACTATAAATAATTTTATTATGTTAATTGAGTTTATTATATTGAAATAAATTGTTACTTTTTGTAGATGAACAAAAAAATAAAGTGAGATGCTGAATAAAATTGAGATTAGTCTCCTAGTTTTACTGGACTAGTTCGGTCTTGTTTAGCTTTGGGTTATACTAGAATTAGATTAGACCACGAGTTGCTTAATTTAATCATTTTCATAAAAAGGTTAGATTTCTAGTTAGGCCAAAGTCCCGTTAGATTCCATACTAATTATAGTATGGAGCAATGGTTAACCAAGAATGGCTAATGGTGTAAATGGGGGTGGCTAATGATGGTGGCAGACGGTAAAAGTTGATGATGGCAACTAATGATAATAGATAGTGATCAATAATAATAATGACTCACAATGATAGCTGATGATGATAATTAACGGAGAATAGTGATAATTGTTAATCACGATTAACAATGGAGGTTGATGTTGTTGGGCACGGTGAGGTGGTGGCAGTGAATGTTAGTAACAGTAATTATAAATGCTAAATGTAACCTGTTTTAAAAATAAAAATAATAAAATAATTTTAAAATGTTTTTGTTAACGATTTTGTAAAGTTGCAAAATGAAATTATTTATTCAAAAAATCATTTAAATAAAAAACACTATTTTAAACATTTTTTAATTTTAATGTTAAAAACTGAAAACAATTTTTAGAAATAATCTTATGAATATATACGTGTCAACGTGCGTAACGATTCTTGCTCTTTGAAGATGTAACAATTTTTTTTTCTCCTTTGTACTATTTGGGTTACTATAGTTTTACCACTGATTAATTAAGAAAAAAAAAAGAGTTTTATTTTGAAGATAGCCATGCAAGCAGATTGGAAGATAATATTTATTTCTCTATTCACCCAACAAGAAGTTGTCGATATTTTTCCCTTTTCTCTCATACTGAGTTTTTTTTTTTGGCCGAACTCTCGTATATATATTGTTTTTTTTTTTGGCCAGCCAAGCTCTCGTATTGAAAGTTCCCCAGAACAATATATATAGTTGGTGAATTTGTATTATGTCTCCAGTGCAAATTCTTCCAAATAAATAATAAAGGAAAAATTAAAAATAGATTCAATTATAGATAAACTTAAAAGTGAAATAGTCAAAATTAAAATTAAAATTAATTTTAAATTATGTAAATTATTTTCTTTGCAAGCTCGTGTTTTTGATATGAAGTTAAAGCTGAGGATAAAGGTTAGGTTTGAAGTATTGGACTTAGAAGCTCTATTTAAATAAATAAAGGTTTGAGTTTTGAAAATTAAATTTTTTTAAAATAATCATGTTTGAGAACCTGACCTTAATAAGTTTGTAAAAAAAAAGCTTAACCTAGGTGGCCCTTCAACTCTAATTATATTATTATTAATTTTTTTTATGTAACATATGTTTGAAATTAAGAAGGATCTACCTGCCTAAAACCTTGATCCTACATGTGTTATATTATTATTAATTTTAATTTATTTTAAAATTAATTTAATATATTTTAATAAATATTCATGTACAGTATAAAATTTATGATATTTTTTATTTTTTTATAATTATTATATTTGTATATTTATAAAAAATAAAATATTTTTTTAATCAAGATTTAATTTTTTTACTAAACTTCTAAATGTGTATTGTCTAATTTCTAAAAGACTATAAGGATTTTTTATTTTTTTAATTTTAAAATATTTTAATTAATTTATAATGTTTAATTTTATTTTAATTTTTTTAAAACAGGTTTATAAGCTGATTTTAAACTCTTCAAATAAAGATCAAGACTCAAAAAAGAAGTGAAAAATAAAAAATTAAGTTTAAATACTAAAGTTTTTATAAGTCGGGTCCATAAAGTTTAAGTACGGTCATTTTCCGACACTATATGAAATCTTGGATGATGCCTAATAGGCTAATATATATATATATATATATATTTGTCAGCCGTATATATATATACAACGACATTTAAATTTATAAAATTCAATTGTGTTTGTCCATTATGTTATTATGGAATATATTATTTCCAATTTCAGTGACATTTTTTTAGACCAGAAAAAACTTCAGCAACAATTTTAAATCCGAATTGACGTCCAAAAAAATTTTACCCGCAAAAAAAATTACAGGCGATGATTGCCCGAACGAAATCGATCAAGCACACTGCGCACGTCAGGATATATTCCCAGATAGCAAGTCTGAGGGAGAAAGAAGATTTCGAACATCAGACAGATTTAGAATAGTGATTATCGTTAACATCATGGTAACGGCGGTGGTGAGTGTATTGAAGGCAGCATCTGAAGAACTTTCTCGGGAAAACCTCTATGGTGGTTGGGCAACGCTTATCGTTCTGTTTATTATGTTTTTTCTTTGGCAGTTTGGAAGGTTCTTCTTCGCCTATTGTTCTCCATCCAAATCCGTTTTGGTTTCAGATTCTACGAGTTCCAAGTTCAGGTAGAGTTGTTCACCTGACTGTTCTTTGCTCAAGTTTCTACCCTTTTCTTATGCACCATCAGAAAAGGGCGTTGTTTGGCAGTTGAGTTTACTGATACTATGTGTTACTGCCTCATTGAATTGGCGTTTTCTTGGAATCCATGGCTTTCTTTGAAAATAGGTTTAGAACTTACATGGCCAAAGAAAGAAAGAAGGTTGGCGCTTTAGTGATATCTGCTGATAGATGTCAAATCTGTATGGTTTTACTGCATATCAACATTTTTTAGATAATCAGAGGCTAGAATATGCTTACAATCGGCCAACTATTGTCGTAATTAACATTTTTACCTGAAAGAATAAGCGTAACTTTGTTCCTATCAGTTAGTTAATGAAAGAAATTATATGAAAACAAGATATATATATTCAGATGAAATTACTCTTGAATTTTGTACACATTTTAACTTCGATAAGTTTACTTTACTTTTGACAAGATAACTTCCTTTTTCTGTAAACAGGTCTTTGTTGTGTTTTTATCCACTTAAATAGGCAAATGAAGGTCGACCCCCATTTGTCACCAACTCCTCCAATTTTAATTTTCTAGTGTGAAATGACATTTTATTAGAATAAGCATCATTAGGATTTAAGAGTTGATAAACCAACTTTTGAATTTCTTGGATTTATTAGGGTAGAAAATTGATGGGTCGAAGTTAGGTACTTTTATTATGTGTTTGCCAAAGCATGGACAATTGTAGGATTCTTATTAACAATCAATTTGATGGCTGTCGACAATGGTGGCAAAATTGGGAAATTAGAGTTTTTGGGTTCTAGCTTTCTAGGGCAATCCAGGGGAGTAGTAATGATGGTTTTCAAAGGGAGGGGTTTTTATTGAATGATTTCTGCAAAAGCTAACAGGTCTGAACGGGTAGGAGAATTGAAGAGAACGGGAAAGAAATTCACAAGAAGAAAAAAGTAAATTAGCCCAGTGCTTTACTACATAACACATCCAAAAAAAATTTCTTTTTGGTCGAAAGACTACACTAGCTATTTTTATTATGAGAAACTTTGTTAGGTAGATGGCAAGTTGAGCTCTTTCACGTGGTCAGCCAAGGGAATAACAATTTTTTTATTAATCTTACATCATTCCTTTTCATCTAGAACTGCTTATTGGCTTGGGAATGGACCACTGGATGGAATTCTTCATCTTCAGAATTTTTCTCAACCTCCTGAGTTGTCAACATTAAATTTTACTTTTATCAGAGTTTTTGTCTTTGCTGTTATTCATGAGCATTGGCTTAGGTGTATCACGAGTGATTAGTCAGCCTGGAAGTTTTCTTTTCTCCTGCAGAATATCAGAATTTGTGACAGATGCAGATTTGAAGTCTCTAATGGAGAACTTGGATGAGAAGTTCCATGAAAATGATAAGTGGGAAACTGTCGTGGATAAAAGTAACAAGAATGTGTCCTACTATGCAAAATGCTGCAAACCAAAGGTTATTGATGTCACTTAATTCAATTTTAGTGAAGACTCGTGAATTGATCTTATTGCACTCTCAATTTGTAATGATAATATCATGTTCATTTTATGAACTTTCTGTGTCTGTTGGTCTGAAGTTTATAATATTTTAATTGATATATGCTAAGTAAAACAGCTAACAAGGTCCCATGTTTTTCTCTCATACTCCCAATGTACTGGCTGGTAAACACAAATTTAGACTGAAATGCTATTCGACACACTTGCATTTGCTCCACCCCTTGTCCTCTTATCCTTTATGCACCATGAAACAAAGTCACTATATCTCTATTGCTTGTTGACAGAATTAGTTCATAATTAGTGGTCAAGTTGTCAGGAGATTACATCCTATTCATTTTTTCCTTTTGCAAGGGTGCTGTTTACATTTTACATCTTCTGGTTCTACTTGATTAATATCTATACAGATGTGATACACCTTCTAGTTGTTGAACACTGGCTTGCACATTTCATGTTGTGTATAATTATTACTGCATTAATGTTGCAGGATGGTCCTCTGAAGTACTTGAGCATGACTAGATTTAATGAGGTTTCACCTGAGGTGCTAAGAGACTTCTACCTGGACAGTGATTACAGAAAGCAGTGGGATAAGACAGTGGTTGAACATGAGCAACTGCAGGTGGACAAATCTAGTGGTGTTGAAGTTGGCCGTACAATTAAGAAGTTTCCTCTTTTGAGCCCTAGAGAATATGTACTGGCTTGGAAATTGTGGGAGGGAAGGGATAAAACATTCTACTGTTTTATTAAGGTAATGCACCCAATCATTGTCTGGCCTTGTAATTATTTGTGTTCAGTTCAATTACTGATCAGCCTTGTGCACATTATGCTTCAGATGTTTGTGATTAATTCATATATGGTGTATTATATGGAAATTGTTGCAGCTACATCCTGCCTCCTAAAAAGTCATCTTTTTGATGTTATATTATATGGCCTGAAACTTATATAAGAAAAGGTAACAATCAAATATATAGTTAAGTTATTTGTTTGTCAAGATATTAGAGATTATGATAGGAATCCACTTTCAACTCATGCGTCAACGCTCAGATGAACAGAAAAGTATATGATCTTCTGTGGAAACGCAATATACTTCTGACACTGGGGGTACAACTACCACTTGCATAAGGAAAATCATGCTGACAACAAGATCTATCAGACTACCCTCACACTACACTTAGATACCAATGCCCTCAAATAACATCCTCACACTGTCACACACACTCAGACACAATAATTCAGAGTGAACTACAGATACAAATACGATTCAGGCAAGGGTTAGATTGGCTAAGATAAAACCAATCCTCCAATATATACCTTTATATATATTGCATTGCGGAGGACCAGTAAGATGAATAATGAAGAGATATAGAACTTCAGATGCCCTTATCAACCTGCAGAGTTATAATCCTTCATCATAAATTCATTTTTCTCTGTTCCTTTTCCTTGCAATGTGATGGCCAATTCAAATTATGTAGCTATGTACTTTTCCTTTTTGGACCTTGTTAAGAGGGGTAGAGTAAGGTCAAAAAGAATACTTATGGAAGTTGTTGACCGAGACCTCTTAATTAACAACATTCCTAAAAACTCGGTAAATGATAGAGCATAATGGCATCATGCAATTTATGTAGCTAACCCCATCTATTGAAATAAGGCTTCTTGTTGCTGTATGTACTTGCCAACTATCCCCCCCCCCAAAAAAAAAGAAGTCTTCTGAGGGTTACAGGTTTCTATCTTCAAGTTGCTCAATTTGTTAGTTAGAACTTGCATGGACAATATGGTGACAGACTATGTTGAAAGTCAGTAATAAATATTGCCGAAGCACATTGCATTTTTTAGAGTTTGTATGAGTCTTTTTTAGTGTACTTGATAGATGCTTAAGGAATTGGAATTTTTTTTTTTCTGGCTGCATTGTTGATTTTTCTTAATTTGTTCTGGCTCTTTTTTCAAATATTTTTTCCCATTGCTTGTTATAATTCTTTTCAGGAATGTCAGCATCCTTTGGCACCATGTCACAGAAAATATGTACGTGTTAAGTTTTTCAGATCTGGCTGGCGAATCAGAAAAGGTGGGCTACTGGCTTGTTTGTTTACTTATTTATTTTCAGATCTGGCTGATGAAGAACATCCTATTTGAATGTTTCCGTTTAGAAGTTATTATTTGATCCTTAGAAAAAAGGTTAAAATCTTCCAAATTAGTGTGGCTTATTTTTTTAATAAAACTTTACTAAATTGAAATGGATATCATGGCAACCTATTTATATATTCACATTCAAAAGCTTGCTCTCATTCATTGGTAAGTCAACTCCATTTTTACTTACATTTGATTGTTTCTCAACAGTGTAATGCGCATAACTGAGTGAATGAGGTTTACATATAATAGACTGTTATATGACTAACATCTATTTAAGTACAGAACCTGGCAGAAATGCCTGTGAAGTCATGATGTTTCATCAAGAAGATGCTGGTTTGAATACGGAGGTGGCAAAACTGGCTTTTGCCAGGGGCATTTGGAGTTTTGTGTGCAAGATGGATAATGCACTCCGCAGGTATTCTAGTCGATCTAGTTCAGTTACCACTTCAGCCAACCTAATGCAGAAGGTCAGTGCTGTTAGTGAACATACAACCATGCGAGTTATATATTGAAGTAAAAGTTCTAGTGTTTCAAAGGTGATGCCTTGTATTATATTTATGGGTAGGTTTTTTGAGGTGTTATGCTAGCCTTATGGCCCATTTTGCCTTTGGAAATGATGATTACAGGATAGAATAGAGTGGAATGTTGATTGGTATGAATTTGTTTGGTATGATAGTAGAAATGTTGGAAAGAAATTTATTTTTTATAGCTAGTTAAATAAAATTAAAATAAAAAAACTGAATTGCCCTCTCTCAATTTGTTTTCCCTTTTCTCCTTTGTCCTTTGTCCCATTTTTTGCTCTTCCCTTCTTAGTAGTGCCCTCATCGAAGACTGACCACTGCCATCTCTACTGCCACCACCATCACTACCACCATCCTTCTACTTCCTCCCTTTTCATTTGACCTCAATCTGTCTCCTCTCTGGGGCCAAATGTTAGAAATTCCTCATCTCTCTGTAGCCAGAATCAATAAAAATAAGACTAGTAAAACATCCAAAAATTGGAGGAGAAACCAGTAAAAAATTTCTTGATCTTAGATTTGGCAGCCTAGATCAAAGAAGAAACTTCAAAAAAGTATTTCTGGATTGGGTGTTTGGGGTTTGAATCTGGGCTGGAGGAACTTTGTAGATGATGGAGGAGGAGAGCAGGAGGGTGTGGATGAGAGGGTTGGGGTTGCTTACAGAGGAAGACTCGATGGGAACGGAGGGAGGATGAGAGGGATGGGTATTTGGATAGGGATTCAGTAATGATCGTTCCTCTCATTTTTTGGAGGAATGTTGACAGCTAAAAGTGTTGTGATTTTGATTTCTTTGGAGAATATATTCTTGCAACCAGATGGCTCAAAGTGTGGGAATCTTGAAGGATTCCATTCCTTTCTATCATAATTCTGGCAACGAAACATCACATTTGGTTCTTATTTGCATGATATTACTTAATGCAAAGCATGTGATTTATTACTTTGGAAAAGTGTTGCCTTATTGTTGACAGAAAAATTCTGAGTAGACTCTGTGGCTAACAATCTTCTTTCCATAGGTACCAGCTTGCTTAGAGACAATTAATGGAAATGGACATCCCACTATACTCCATGACCATGCTACAGACGAGTCTCGCAAGAAGATGATATTTAAAAAGCCATCAAGAAAGTTCCTAGCCAACAGTCTGCTGCTCCTGGGGGGTGCAATCTGCCTGTCTCGGGCCCACTCTAGCCTTGGCGCAAAAGTAGCCTTGGCTTACATGTTAACAAAACTAGGCAAGCACAGCAAACACAATGCTCAATCAAACCAGAATGAACAAAATCAAGGTAGATGACTTGATGCACCAAAACTCAAAACTGATATCCGCTGCAAGGAGAGAATAATTTTGGAGGGCTTAACTATATGTGTAAATATTTTGACCTGAGAATTACTTCATAGCTTTTGTGGCTGACAGCTATAAGTTGATGAGTCCAACATATCATTATGATCTTCTTTTTTTTTTTTCAATATTGTGTATATATATATGTATATATTATAATGCCGTGAGCATATTTGGTGTAAATACTATAGGTTGTTTCGGTGTTATTTGAGAGTGAATGTGGTTTGTGATGATGCCATTAGCATACCTGGTGTGCTTAATGTATTGCAGTATTAGGGATATGCAGGCAAGACTAGGTAGAGTATTAGGCCCTCAGAGAAGATCAATAGGGTGGCCAGACGAGTGAGTTGAAACCTTTTGGCAAGTTAACGTGGATAAACTTGTGTCTAATTTTCCCAAGTGTCCTGGTGTGCTTGCTTGGAGGTGCTTCTTGTAATAATTGGTCTCTTGAATGGCTGTTCTTAGTTCTTACTCTATTATCATTAATGAATGGAATTGTAATTGAAATTTGGTGATATTTGTTTGCCTGCGTGCGTGAATTTTTCTTCCCTAACTTCCAATTTCCAGTTTATGAATTTTACCTCTTTAGCTACGTAAATTTTTTGGACTTCGTTTACCCAGAACTTTTATGTGGCTTTTTTCATCTAGCTACGTTTTTCATGATTTTGACAGGGTGAACCAATGTTCTAAAATCCTGGACCTTAAACCAGAAAGCTCAGGGGTTCTGATTTTCATGATCTAATTGGTTAAACTGCCCTTCAAACTGGTGATTTAATAATTAAAGAAAAATAATATTATATATATATAAGAATATTTATCATAAATAATTTGATAGTATGTCTACTCAAATGATATAACATGATCATAAATTAATAATATTATAAGTTATAATTTTATCATTTGTTAAATAATGGTGGATTTTGATTTAATGAGGTATGAGTGAATTTAAAAGTATTTGCATTTATATCTATGGTTGCTAGCATTTTCAAAAATAAAAAGTTTAGAACCATATTATATGCATATAAATAGTTCATATTGGTAGAGGTTTAATTTTTGAATTTTCCTGATTTTTTAATTTTTTAAAGTTATTTTATATTATGTTTAGAATTGTCTGATTTTTTAAACATCATTTTAGCTTCAGATTCAATTCTAGTTTTTGGCTCAACAACAACTCAATTTTAGTCCAACCTAACTCAATCTTGATAATAATTTTTCCTCCTTCAAATAGATAAATTGACACCTTTCATCAATAGTAGTTTGATCATTCAATTTAGTTCGGTTCTTAAAACAAAGAAATGAACTGTCCTTTCGAAGTGGAAATACAAGATGAGGTTTTGGTTGATGGATTTGAATTATAGATTTAAAATTTTACATTTAAAATTCAAATTCATATGTTTAAAATAATTTGTTTGAATAGTAAAAAAATTTTAAAGAGAAAATAGAGGTAAACTAAGATTTAAGGTAAAAACAAGAAGATTTGTAATAATAAGTATACCTTTATTTTTCAATTGGCAAAAGATAAGAATGAGAGATAAAAAAAGTGAGAGTGAGAAAGGCATTGATATTGAAAATGTATAAAAAAAAAGAGAATGTTAAAGTGACTAAAATTTTAAATAACTAAGATAAGAATGAAATTTAAAATTATTAAAAAAATATAATAAAACATGAATTTAGTCTAAACTTGTAAATTTTTACATATCTAAATAAAGAATTGGACTCAAATTCAAATCCTCTAATCCAAACATTACATAAATATTTTTATCAAACTACTTGGCTTTACAATTGGGATTTGCATTTCTCTATGTTCCAGGAAAAAAATTACAAAACAATTAGGAAATGGATGAGTGGGTTCGATTGCTTGCAATTTGTTGACCAGGCATTACATTATCTTTTTCAGTTAATATTTGATTATGAATCTCCAGATTGTGGACGGCAAGAGATCGGCCGTCCACGGTGTTTGGATTGTTTAGGCTCGTCCTCCATAATAGAGAATATTTGTTTGTTTGTTTTTATTTAATTTTAATTAATTAACTTTCCAACTCAGCATGCCACGTGTGTATATGTTGATCAACAATGCTGCTTTAATAGTTAACATGACTTTAGTATAATGAAAAAGTAATATTGCATTATTTTTAAAAGTTATACTATAACATTACTTTTTTTAAAAAATTAAGATACCAAACACATTTTGAGAGAAAATTTTGGGATAAATTTGCCCTATAATTTTTTTATCTTTAACCTATTACTAATGAAAAAAATTAAAACTAATTTAAAAAATATACAAATAAAAAATATATTAATATAATAATAGAAAAAATAATATAAAATAGTTTTTAAATATTTATTTTTAACAAAATTTAAAAATGAACCGAAGAAATAGTATAAAATTATTATTTTTTTGTTAAAAAAGTCATCGGTAAGATTTATTAAGTATGACAAATTATTTTATAAAAACTTGTCATATTTTTACATTTTGTCACTCTCAAGTGCATACTAATAATAGAAACAATTCATTTTATTTCTAAACTTATTACCCATGAAAAAATTAAGAGCTAATTTAAAAGTTAACTAAATAAAAGAGTTAATGGGCATTTTTGTTCCTCAACTATTTGCTAAAAAATGCTTGGTATCTTAAATTTATATATGATGCAATTTTTTTCTTTAACATTTGAAAATGGTACACTAGGCATTCTATCATTAAAAAGTTAATGTTGACAGTTTTTTTTCTAAAAATTATAGAAAAAGACTTTAAAAATTACATAAAAATCCTAGAAAATTATAAAAAGTACTTTATAAGAAAATTAATATTAATTAAGCATCCTAAATTATAAAAAAAAATATAATATTTTTTAATTATGTGTTAGTGTTGTCGCCAATAATTGTGATACATTAATTACCCACTATCTTGATATTTAATATAATTTCAGAAATTTAGTTAATATTAATTTTCTTATAGAGTACTTGTGTGTAATTTTTTAGGTCATTTTATGTCATTTTTTTAATAATTTTTTGAATCAAGTAATAATTAAAGTTAACTTTTTAACGGTAAGGTGTCAAGTGCAATATTTTTAAATGCAAAAGAAAAAAATTGCATCATGTATTAATTTAGGTACCTAACGTTTGAATAATTGAGGAGTCAAAATACTCCTTAATCCTAAATAAAAATATATTAGTATGATAGGTGAGTGCCACCACACCGCTGGTTTCATGTTTCATGTTTCATGATCAATGAAATAATATGTGTGTGTGTACACTCACACGTCTGTATGAAATAATACTCACATGTCACAATTCCTCGATTATATGATATTAATCTTCTATATCATTCCAGGAGAATAGAGAGTTGATTCGAGGGCATTGAAAGGGAAGGGAAAGGAAGAGAGTAGAGATTTTAATAAATTTAATTAAAAAAGAGAGAGATAAGTAGATTTATCAAAATTTTAACAGAGAGAAAAGGAAAATGTAACAGAATATAATAAATAAAATCAATTAAAAACTTCCCGCCTCATTTATTTTATTTTATTTTTAAATGAAGTCATCGAAATCTCCATTTTCAATTAAACAACAATATTTTTCACGAGGTAGTACTTGTACATTTACTTCTTTTTACCGGGGAAAAAATTTTCATTGAAAAGGATAAATGCTAGAACAAAAGAAACTCGTGACATTATAACATTTGCTAACTTAAATTTACATTTTCAAGCTTCTATACATATAAAAGAATTAAAGGATTAAAAATACCCACCTTCAAGAGCATCCAATATCATTAAGTGAATAAAAATGCAATAGTACCTATGAAATTGTTATAATTAGTGTAATAGAACCAGTTCCATTAAATTTGACTAATGTTCATTAATGTTGAGCATTAAAAAAAGATGAAGCAAATATGAGGTGTAAAACTACTCAGGAATTTTTTTTAGTAGTTTCTAATATTCTTAAGTCAATAATAGTATATAGGCATTCATTAACTATATAAAAGAAGCTATATAACCAAGCTCGACCTAACATCTCAGACTTTTTCAGATTGGTTTGAATATCTGAATTGTTAAATATTATTTTTCTTCATTTTCTATTTTTTAGCCAATTTCAATTTTTATCTTAAAAAAATAAAGATTAATCTTTATCTAATTTTATTAATAATAAAAAAGATTTGGGTATTTAGACTAGGCCCATTTGATTTTAGCCTTGACCTGTATTTCTTCGAGCTCATTCAGCGATCCGAATAAGTTTGAAATAAAGAAAATTTTTTAAACTCCTAAACTCAATCCTAAAAGTTTTTGGACTTATTTGGATTGACTTGTCAGGCTTAGCCTAAATTATCAACTCAAATATTTTTAAATCTATTAAGATAACTTGACATTGATTGTAAACTTATGAGAATAGAACTAAACAAATTGGAGAAAGTTGGCCTATTTTATAAAATTAATGAGTACCCAGTCACTATTGTTAATTTTAGGATATCAAAAACTCATAGAAAAAAAGTTTATAGATATTTTTGCTTTTTATATTTGCTTTATTTCTTTTTAAATGTTTGTGTTAACAAACGTTAGTCAAATTTAACAATAAGGACTGTTACACTCATCATAACAAGTTCATGAATATTTTTACATCTTTGTTTACTTAATTATATTGGATGCTCTTAGTGGAGAAAAAATTTATTGAGTATCTTTACCCTTTAACCTAATATAAAAAGATATACAAAAACAAAAAGACCCACAAAACAATGAAATCATCCCATCCTTTTTTTTTTTCCTTGACTTAGGAGATGAAATATAAGCAAGGAACTTTCAGCTTTGACATTTTTTAAATATTCCACCCACCAGTAGATTCTTTTTCTTAGAATTGCTTGTCATCTTTGTGTCAACTAGCAACCAACACATTAATCCATTAAATTCATTTATGACATTTTTGGATACATGAGTATTTGGTTTAAACCAAATCTTTTATTTAAATATATAAAAATTTTATGGATATCCAGATCCAAATGTATGTTTTATTATAACTTTTTTGTAATTTTAATTTTTTTTCTAGACCCTAGTTATTTTAAATGTCAACCACTTCAACTCTCTTGTTTTCTTAATGTTTTAACTATCAATGTCTTTGTTATCCTTATAACATCCTAAGTCAAACTAAGAATATAATTATGATTTATTGTGTAAATTAAGAATGATCGGGGTTAATTATGTTGGTGAAGCTTGATTATGGTCAGTGAGTTTGATATGAGGAATAAATGAGGTTTATTGAGGCTAATAGTGATTAGGAATCCAATTATGATTTTGTTTGGAGATAGAGTGATAAAATTGAGGTTTGATGATAAATTAGGGGAGGGGAGGTGGTTTTGCCCACCTCCGTCTGCAGACATGACACTAAAGGGTGTCTCTACTAGCCAACGAAACTCACTGGGTGAGAATGCCCTCTCTGTTTGTAATCGCACGTGGATGAGTCCAAAACATGATTCATTCGCTTGTGAATGTGAATAGAGGAGGAAAGCCTGATTTTACCTTATCCTCCTGCGGATGTAAAATGCGTAGGCATGACCACGCAAGGACGAAGACACTTATATCAGTCCCTATTCTGGAAATTAGATCAAAACGCGAGGAGAAATGAGAAGGGGCAGAAAGCAGTGACATTTCTTTGCTAGGGCACAAATTTTCAATGCCTTTGGGGTGATTTTGAGCTTGGAAACCACTTGGGATAAGTTCTTAGATGCCTCCTCTTCCTTTCTACACTTATTTCTCTTTGATTTGTGTTAATGTTCCAATGGATAGCAGGTGACTGAATTTACGATAAATAAATATGATTATTGAGGTTGTTAGAAATATAATAAATACTTCAAAATACTATTTTGTTGATGAAATTTTAATTTGATGCTTATGGGTTAAAACCCAAGTTCCTATGGTTGAGTTTTTGTTAAATCTAAAAGTGTAAGAGGATTTCGTGATGCTTAGATATTTATTTGAAATTAGAAACATGTTTATAAGGCTTTAGAATGATGCTTATAAGCTTGAGACTAAATTATGTTTTTTTGGGCATTTATGGTGTGAATTTATGGAATATAAAAGAGGAAATTTATGGTATTAGAAATGGCTTGGAGGATTAATTATGCTTGTTAATGTGTAATTATGTTAGTACAGGAGTTAGAACTTTGGTTAGTCATACTAACGTCATATTAGTATAAATAATAAAAATAGAAATGTAAACTATATTTTCTAACTCTGTGATTAGAGTTGTTTATTGGTGTCAAAGATTGAAACACAATGTGATGTGAAAAATTATTGTAAATTGTGTTAGTGAAGATTATGAAAAAAGGAAAATTATAAAGGGGTAAATTATTAATAAAGCCATAAGATAACTATGTTTTAATATGTTTTTAGTGTTGCCTACTATTATTTGTGTGATTATAGAAAAAATATGTTGAGATGAGTATTGAGAAAAATTTAGAAGTGTGAATAATGTGTTTTGAAGTGTTTTTGTTAAATGAGATGCTATATTGTACTATTGTTAGAAATGAGAAAAATTGTAGAAATTGTGATGTTGTATATTTGTTCATTGTTGATATTAAATTGCTTGATTTATGTGGGAGGTATTGAGAGATTTATTGTTGTATGTTATGACACATGGTACACCCCCTATTTGAGGCCCAATAAGTGGCTTGTATGGGTCTAAGCTAGTCTACCTTTGGCAAAATGATTTAGTACTAAGTGAAGTCTATGACTTGAGGATAATGGAGGGAAATAAGGGTGATTGTTTGTCATGTAAGATAATATTAATTTGTATTTGTATTGTAAATGGTTTATTCTTCCCCATCTAACAAGATCACTTGTAATTGTTTGCATATATTATCATAAATTAACATTAATTACTAAGACTTTTGAGTCTCATTTCTATGATTAATAATTTTCAGGAGAACAGTCAAGTGTAATATGTTGAGAAGCCCTTGAGGCTTAGTGGTATGGATCCACTTTCTCTTTTGAGTATTGATTTATAATTTTGATGATGTAATATTTCCAATACTAGTGTTTTTGTTTATTTGATAATTATGTGAATTCATTGTGGTGGTCATCCCCTTCAAACTATTACTAATTGTGGTATACATTTGGATGACTATAAACTTTGAATCATGGTTTGAAATGGCATATTTACAAGGCCATGTGTTTTGGAAGTGATTAAATTGTTTGATTTGGTGATTGGCTCTGGTTTGCAATTGTTGGAAGTATAAGGTTGGGAAAGTATTATTTTGACCTAATGGCATGTGAGAGGATAATCTTAATTGAGATATTATGATATTGTATTAAGTTTTCTTTCTATCAAATGTATTAAGTCGCTGTAATTTAACTGTGATTTTATTTGTGCATAGGTAGTACAAGAAATGGTTATATGTTATTTGGAATCATTGTGGAGTGGTCAACAGTTATCGAAATGCATAATGGCTTCTAATTTTCTATTTTATCTTTGTTTATTACATTTTAACTTATATGTGATTGCATATGCCTTTCACAGTTATCTTTGTTTATGAATGTTCAGGATCCCAAATTTTAAAAATAATTATTTACTAAGTTAAATTTATTTGCCATGATAATTTTTATTAATTTAATTTTTTTTTATCATGGTAGAATCTTTTTTAAGATGATAGTCTATTGAAAAAGAATGTGATTTCATTTCTTTCCACCACTGCAGACCCCCCCTTTTTTTTTCTCATGATAGTCTTTTTAAAATAATAAATGTTTTTCTAAATTATTTTTTATTCTTTTATCATGACAGTTCTTTTTTTATATGGTAGTGCTTTCAAGTTAAATAATTGTTTTACTATTTTTAAAATTCTTTATACTATCAAAGCAAAATATTTTTAAATCAAGAATTTAAATTTAAGTTCATCAATTCAAAAACTACCTTTTCAGCTGTAATTTTTAGAATTTACAATTGAATATTTAATTTCATGGCAACACTATTTTCACATCACATGATCCAATTTTTCTCAGTGGAGCACTTACACCATATTTGAAACTAGAATTTACATTGACACAATCTTCATTTTCTGTCAACCAATAATTACATTAATCCATTCAGATTTTAATTTTACACAGCTCTATTTTTCTGTAAACCAAAATATGTAAAGACTTCATGAATTCAGTTTTTTCAGGGAGACTTTCACTTCCAACATATCCCAAACAAAAATTTTATCAATTTAGGAATTTACAACTATAATTTCAGTTTTTATAACACTACATTATATATTTTTAATTTCATATCCTGACAGTACAACATTTGAATAATGATAAAAAAAAAAACAGTACAACATTTACGCAGAAGTAAGACTTTAGATTCACTCACTAAGCTATCTCCTCAAATTCCATCAAAACCTATACACTCACATAGCACAACTATACATTTTAGTGAAAATCAAGAATAATATACAAGATAAATTTCCACTAAATCACTAGGAAGGAGTTCCTTCTAATTTTTCCTAACACAAAAATAATGCTTTTAGAAATGTATCACACCCAACTACTCTGTAAATCTTCAATCTTGTTGCGTGGAGGGGAATTGGACTTCAAACTTTTTGCAATAGATGGTTTTTGCACCGTGGCTTGTGTTTTTCAGATAATGGGCATTTCGGATGAAATTTTCTAAGAAATTAATTACAAATAATGATTCAAATAATTGCAAATAAAAATTTAAGTTGTAAACTAATAGTTACATCTACTCTTTTCTTAAAAAATATAAATATTTTTGAGCGGTTGAATACTAAAAAATATAAAACTTTTTAGTTTTTTAACATGTAATTATTGTGTTTTTTTTTCAAAAGCATCCTTTTGAATAAATTACGTTATGTTATTTTAAGGTAAAATACTTTAATAAATAAAGGTAAATATAAAAAGATAGGGTTTGTTTGAGGATAAGTAACTGTTTTATTAAGGGGTGAGATTTTATTAAAAATATTTTATATTTTTAAATAGAAAAAGTATAATTTAATATTTTACTTCTAATTAAAATCCTTGAATTTATTTTTCAGAAAATTTTATCAACTGTTGTTAATTTTATTTGTTTATTCCGGGCCTGACTATCATTCCCCCCTCACTTCATTTGATTTGTTTTTTTTAAATATTTTGGTCTGAAATCTGGACAACCTCATCTGAGAACAAATATATATAAACTGGCGGGAAGGGAAGTACCTATAGCAGGGGCAGACTGGCCGGTCTATACTCCACAATCCGCATCCGCAAAGGTCGCGAGGTTGTCATCAGCCATTTTCCTCTCCTTTCGCTCTGACTAGCTATGGCGCACTCTGTGTTTTCCATTTTTAGCGATCAAGGTTATAGCTTTCTTCTTCCTAAACTTAGCCACTTCTTACACCCAACCAAAACATTCCCAACAAACCAAGAAACCTCCAGCTCTCTATCGTTCCAAAACTCTGGCATAACAAAGACAAAATCAAGTTTCATTCAATCCTTTGTTCTCTATGATTTTCTACAATTGACGGTGACATTAGTACTCCATCCTTTCTCCTGCGTGAGAAGATGCGCCACAACCTTTCTGGGTTGTGGATCTCTCTGCTCGCGGTCTTCACTACCGCAGTTCATTGCAAGACTAACTCCCAGGATGGTATGAATACTTTGTACGATTGTCACTGCGTGCTTGCAATCAGAATCAGGAACTGTGATGGAACTCCATGTTAACATGGATATATTTATCAATATGTATAATTGGGTTCCCCATTGCCTTGCATGTATCTTGCATTGCTTAACGCCTTTTTGCTTTTGATGCATCCTCAAAATTATGCTGCTATTAAGAACTATCCAATGTAATTGTTGGATGATGATGGGTTTGGAGGAACACTTGTAGCTTTTGTCTCTCTGATTATGCCCTTAAATAATTATGCAATCAATGGACCGCATCATAAAAGATTATGCTATTAAAATTAATTATGCAAGAGTAGACACGCTTCCCATAATTGTTTTGTGCCTTGGGGAATTCAGAGAGTGATTATGGATAGACAATGTTCTGCTTTAATTTGCCTGTCTGATAATTCATGTTTCATCCATAGGTCCAAGAATAGTTTTCCTGGCTTACTTGAAAACAGTGGAATTTCATTATTACTGCAAACTCAGATTACAGGCATGTGTTGTGGGATATTATTTTGATTTGTCTGTGTGTTCTGTTACGAAGAACTGCAAAACTCAATCGGTTTGCTATTTTCTCTAAGTTTTTTTTAATATTTTAATGGACTAGCTGGTATTAACCTGCATATTTTTGTTCTCACTGTTTTATCTTGTAATATCCATAAGCACGTCATTTTATTATTGGTGGGGTAGCTTGAAATGAAGCTATGCATTTTTCCTTTTCTTTTCTTTTCAGATGTCACTTCATACTTGTTTGTTAATATTAATTTTTTTGTTAATGAATCAATTGGAAAGTTGCATTATTCACATTTCAAATTCTTTCTTTGTTTTTTTTTATGCTGTAAAATTGAAATACTTATTTTTATTCGTGCAATTGTGCAGTTTCAGCCCTCAATGGGATGTAACCAGCTTAACATCTCATTCACAATTGGAAGGCTGGAAATCAAGTGAGGGTGATCCTTGTGGCGACTCGTGGGAAGGAATCAAATGCTCAGGCTCGTCAGTCACAGAAATGTAATAGACTGGAGCAGACTGATGATTACATAGTTACAAATATCTATTGTCTATGTATATACAACTGAAAGATAATGCTTATCTATCTTGACATGATGTTTGCCACAAATTCTACATCTACTATAATTTGACTCTTCTGAGTTCTGACTGCATTTACTATTGACAGAAATTTGTCTGGCCTGGGACTTAGTGGATCAATGGGCTACGAGCTGTCAAACTTGGCATCGGTTACCTACTTGTAAGGCCCTTATATGGAATTGGGAAATGAAATCCCCCTCTCTTTCTCAAATTAATTAGAGTGAGAGAAAATCACTGAATGCCATGCATTGATTTGTCGTAGTACAGTGACTTGAGCAACAACAACCTTCGTGGTGATATACCGTACCAACTTCCACCTAATGCTCATTACATGTAAGTCAGCTTTACAAGAACTCACATCTCTATATTAAAAAAGGTAATGCAAAATATGATGCTACTATCTCATAATGCCTCAGATATCCTTAGGCTTACTTTGTTAAAATAAATGTTTAACAGATCTGATTTTCCTTTCCTTATCTATTTATTCCTCGTTTTACCGTCCATTACTGAGCGAGGTTTTGTTCCCCTTTTAGCAATAATTGATTTGAACTGTGGTCTTTCTTTTTATTGGGATAATTTCCTGCATAAGTTTCTACCCTTGTGAAATACCACTTTAACATGATTAATCCAGCAAAACTTCCCAATTTATTTTGGTATCAAATGAAACATTTTTGTGGGTGACCTTGGACTGTCACTTTTTCATTATTTTCTTTGAGTGCTCCCTGGACTGTTAATTTGTTCTTGATTTATTTCACCTAATTTGTTTTTTATTCTTTAAATCAGATTGTATTTTTCTGTTTTGTTTATTTTGGTTTATATGCTTGAATTTATGAGATTAGGCCAATCAGCTTGGAATATCCCTGACTGTCTATGCATTTGCTTTCATGATAGTAAAAGTGGAGGAGAGATCAGAGGGGATTTAACTCTGGTCATGCTTGTACCTGGTATTAGAGCAGCCTAACGTCCTAAACACCCCATCACGGCCCATTCAAAAAACAAAAACACCCCATCACAGCATGATTTAGTTCATTTTTGGACTGAATTTAGATATGCAAGAAGGCAAGGCCACTCCACCTGGAGCTTAGTGTTTTCAACCTATTTATCTGTCTTGTCCGTATTCAACTTCCTGCTACGGTGCCACTGCACCCTCTTCCATATACATTACTCCTTAGTGTCTCAATGGCCATAACTACCTTGGAAGGTCATAGAGTATTCTTGTTTACATCAAAGAGAGAGGCAAGGCTGACTTACAGGAACAACTTCACCCTATAGCATAATTGAACCCAAATTCTTGACATGTGAGGTATAAATAGTATGTTGCAGTCTTGGTTGATGACAACTGAGATGGGGCAATCTTCCTACTGTATCCAACAGTTCATTCAGTGGTAGAGGCAACTTATAAGAACTATTCCCTTTCAAACAATAGTTTTATATTCTGAAATTGGGGTTTATTTTGCCATGACTTCTGGCAGAAGGAAGGGTTGTGGTAATTGATGTCACCTAATGCTTCAATGCTTTGGAGGAAGCTAAACTTATATGAGAATCCTTGGTGGCCATGTGCTGGTGACGCAACATGCGGAAACCAACTATAGGAGGAAAAAAAAAAAAGAGTCTACAAAGTCCCTTTGAGATTGAACTAAAGCAAATCCTTCTAGTGTACAAAGTCAATCATAATAATAAAGTTTGGAGTATTCTAGAGGCAAATCTAATAGAGACTAATAACTTCTGTTTCCATTAAGCTTAGCTGACAGAGTTATAGCTGGGTAAATGGATAAGCATTGTTATTAACCTGACTAATAAAATTTTATCTGACCAGTAGGGCTAAATATCTGAGAGCTAGAGGTTGGATTTCATTGATGACATAAACATTGTGCAGCTTGACATATGTATAATGAGATGATAGATGGCCAGGAAATCTGATTTGAATCCCTAAATTCTGGCCTCAATAAGACCAAAAAAATATATTAACCATCCCCTTATATCTACGATAAATTTACCGCTCATTTCCACACTGACCCTCAAGTTATATCATGGATATCAATCATGTGCAACTTGCTAGTGCAATCTTGAAAGACTTGAACCTTCAACATGATGTAAAGAATACCCTCTTAAATGGTAGCCTGGAAGAAGGTGCTTATATGCAAGTTCATTCTTGGTTTAGATAAGAATAGGGTTTGCAAACTTCTTAAGTCACATTATGGTCTCAAACCTTCAACATTCTCCTATTGTTATTACGTATGTTGATGACATTATAATTTTGGGTGATTATATAACATAAAACAGGAGGTTGAAAGCTAGAGACTTTGAGATCAAGGTTCTTGATGACCTAAGATACTTCTGAGGCATGGAAATGTCTTTCTCAAGGAAAGGTATTGTATTACCAAAGAAAATATATCTTTGATCTATTGGAGGAGATAATAATGCTTTGCAAGCCATCTAAAAATCATATGGACATCCTTATAAGCCTGGATTCAAGGAAGAAACTCTTCCCATAGACAGTGAGATATGTCTACGGATAGTCAAAAAACTTGTCTAACTGTTCTGTATTAAGTTAGACATCAATTTCTTAGTGAATGTTATTGAATCAGTATATAAAAAAGCCCATTGGCAAGCATGTCAAGCTGTTTATCAGATCTTAAGTTATTTGAAGATGACTCTTGGCAAAGGAATTTATTTTAAGAAAAAGTGAACTAAGAGAATTGTTGAGGTATATATAAATATTGATTTAGTAGGATCCGCTGTTGAGGTATGTACAAGTCTTGAGGTATATACAAATGTAGATCCACTTCTGGCATTGCGCTTTTGTATTTTAGAATCTCTTAATATGGACAAGCAACAAAAATCCATATTTATCTATTGTTACTGAATGTATATGTGATGGATAAAGGTCAATGAGACTTTTTAAGAAACTAAGAAGTCCTATAGAGGATCCTGTAATTGTTTTCGAGAGACAATTTGAAAACTGTAAGCATTGTAAATAATTCTATTCATCATGATAGAACAAAGCATGTGGTGCTTGATAGGCATATTATAAAAGCGAAACTTAGTAGTGTCCGATTTTAAATCATATTCACTCACTATTTCAAGTAGCTGATTTATTAACAAGGGAAGTGTCAAGAATGAAGCTTAAGGCCCTAGTTACAAGATGGGAACAATTAATCTCACTTAACCAGTTTGAGGGAGACTTTTAGCATTCACACGCTCCCTTGGTGATCACAAGCCATTATTGTCTCAGTGCTTCTTGGACTATGCCTTTAGGCATTACTTACCTTGTCTTCTCCCTCTCCGTCTCCCTCTCCCTCCCTTTCTCTTTCTGTATCCATTTTATTCTTAAATAATATTGTATTTTTTTAGTTTTTTTTGGTTTAAATGCCTAAATTCATGGGATTACGCTAATCAGTTTAGGATATTCCAACTGTATGCCTATGTTTCCACGACAATAAGACAAAGCAAAGTCAGAGGAGATTCAGCTCTTATCATCCCACAATTTACTATTTCATATGTCTTAAAATAATTCTTAATGTTCTTCATTCAAGGTATTTGGATTCATTTGCCTCCATTAATGTAAATTCAATAAATTATCTTTTTGGCACATCTCCTTTTACAGGTATTTTGTAACTTCTGTAAGATTTCCATAATCAATTTCACTCGATTAACTTCACATGTTTATTGTCCTTAATCCTCCTTCTTGACACACAGTGATCTTTCCAAGAATAGCTTCACTGGAGTGGTTCCTTTTTCCATTTCTCAGATGACCAACCTTAATACCCTGTGAGCAAATTATGTTTTTGAAATATATTTTTATTCTTTATTATTTGAAATTTTTTATTTTGTCATAATTTTGTTTCCCAACCTTTTATGGGTGGATGCAGAAATCTTGCGCATAATCAACTCAATAATCAGTTGGGTGATATGTTTGGGAAACTCACTAAACTCAAACTACTGTAAGTTTGATGATAACTGCTGCGAGGATGTTGCCATCACCATCACGATTTAAGCTTTTTCGTTTTTGCCACTTTTTGCATTTAATTTGGGTTGAGTTAGAATCCACAATAAGCCCACTTTCAGTGGTCTATCATATAATATAGATATGTTGCATCTTGCATGTGAATCAGCTCCTGCATTTTTGTTTGGACGTTTTTTTTTTAATTTATAAATTAATCTGATATGAAATACCTAAGTAGTTTTAACTAGGACCCGCTGGTGCTCATCTTTAAGATTTTTTTTCTCTAATGTAGCATATATCTTCAAGTTAAGCTAATTCAACAGGTTCCATTTGTAAAAGCTATTGTTACTGAAGATTTATGGAAGAAAACCAGAGAAAATGCATTTTCTCTTCTCCATGAATGAATATTATTCAAGAGATTCAATATAATACAATTAGGGTTGGGAATTGGGATGATAGTTAGTGATGACAGATCCATCAAATGCCAAATAATCAGACAATTAAAACTAAATTGGAACCAATCATGTTTAGGAGATTAACTAAGGTAATAAACATGGGATGACGTTGACCAAATGGTAAATAAGGAAATAGGATAGATAAAAATAATGACAATAATGAATGAGATAACCACCAGTTTCTCTTGTATTTTACATGCTAAATTTCTTGTAAGATGTTTGGTGGATTATTTCGCATATTAATGAAAATAGTGCTCCGTGGACATTTTAAAAATTGAAGTATAAGCATTCTCCCTTCCACTATCTTAAGGTGCATAACTATCAGGTTCTTTGAGACATGAGAATTGTATTAATTATTAGTTATTCAATGATGTATAGGGATTTATCATTTAATTCACTATCAGGAAACTTGCCTCAAAGTCTTAAATCTCTCTCAGGCCTCAAAAAGTTGTAAGAAGTTGACTCTTATAAGTGAAAGAATCTTTTTTGTTCCATTGTAAACATGTGCATACTTGACTCTATTTGTCCTTGTTCAGGCATCTGCAAAATAATCAATTCTCAGGTTCAATAAATGTGCTTGCGAACCTTCCACTTGAGGATTTGTAAGTTCGTGTCTACCTGCATTGTACTAGCTTTTTCTGATTAATTTTGAATCATCTTCAAATGTATGATTACTTAGTGATCTGGGCACCTAAATATTATGTGTAGAATTATCTAAATGCATGTCTATAGGTTAGAAGCATTCTTCTTCACGAGGGAAAAACTGTGCTTCACATTATTAGATGCAATGAAGGGGTCGAATTCAATTTTTATTGTTGTTATGCTAATCTGTTGTAACAATGACTGGCATGTGTAAAGTTGGATTTTAAATTGGCATGACTAACATTATTATCATGACAGGAATGTTGAAAATAACAAATTTTCTGGTTGGATCCCGGCAGAGTTAAAGGATATAAGTAGCTTGCAGTAAGTATTTAGCTGCATTCATATTTGTTGAAAGATGCAGTGCTTAGTTGTATCTAAGTTTATTTTGTTGATTTTGAAGCACTGGAGGAAACTCTTGGTCAACATGGCCAGCTCCTCCTCCTCCTCCTGGCACACCACCACTCAAACATTCTGAACAGGGAAAAGGGAAACCTGCTGTTATTGGAATTGTTCTAGGAAGCATAGCTTTGGTTTTGCTCATAGTAATTGTGATTGTTGTTGCTATTGTTAAAAGAAGATCATCTCCGCCTCCCTCAAAATTTCTAGATGAAGAGCATAACCATCACAAATCTTCTACGCCTCTTGCATCCAAGGAATCATCAGAAAAAGTATCTGGTACTGATGCTCACTTTTCTAGTATTTCTGTTTTCCATGATATATTCTGATTCTTAGTTTCTTACACAAGCCACTATACTTTCCATTTTGATAATGTGTGATTATCTTAGATAACATTTTGTTACTTATATATATATATTGTGGATTATGACTGTTGAGTGTAGAACGAATAAGCAGCAGATAGACAGACATCATTCATTTTATGTCTTTACCAGTATCTGCTGTGACAATCAGTGATTGACAATATACTGAATGAACTTGTTAGATTACTTGTCGTTCTCCCCTGGAAAGGATGATAGTGATTTAGCTTTAATCAAATAGATGGGTGAAACTCTAGATTCTTCTGATTTATTCTGATACACATGCCAATTTAAGGGGACAATCATAAGGAACCACTAGAATCTCCAAAATAAGGAACAAAAGGGAAGGAAAATTTACATAGATGAATTACATTAATGAGTGGAACAGATAATCTTGAGTCCTGTAAAGAAGGGTAGAAGAAGACCAAAGAAAACACTTATGAAAGTTGTTGAATGATACCTCTTAGTTAATAATATTCCCAAAAGCTTGGTTGATAATAAAGCATAATAGTGTCGTGTAATTTATGTAGCTGACCCCACCTAGTGGGATAAGATTTGCTAAATTACATTAATGAGCTGACCCAATCCCATTGGATCAGTAATTAAATACTACAAAAATCAAATCAGAAAAATTTAGTAAAGAAACTAAAGAATCTTAACAGCTTGGCAACATTCCCCCATAAGTTGGAGAGTAGATTTAATCTCCCCAACTTGGCTACAAGTTCTTCAAATATGACCCGAGTCAAAGTCCTAGTAAGGTTATCTGAAACTTAGAGTCATGTGGAATTTGAATAAGAAGACCATTATCCTCTTTCTCCTTGATGAAATGCCATGAATTTTTTAATGTTCTGTTATGTTTGATAGGATTTTTGGACAAATTTAGTTTGGCCACATCGTCACATTGGATCTTTAGGTGTTCATCTCATTTGATCCTTGTTAAGAACAAACCTTTACAGATTCCTCTTCAGCACTGCTCATGGCAACAACTGACTCTTTCTTCTCGAAGTCACTATGTTTCCCCATATATATAATTTCCTGAAGTGGATTTCCTTTTATTGATAGGGCCAACACAATAACATCACAAAGGCTTCAACTTCGCAGTTGCTACTCTTCTAGAAAAAGATTCCATTATCATGTTTTGTTTTAAGGTATCTCAGGATCTTGTAGGAAACCTCAATATGTACCTCCAATTGGCTTATTCATCATTGGCTTGTGAAACCAATCCGGAAGTTAATATTTGGCCTTGAATAAGTTAGATGAGTTTTCGCACTGACTTTGACATCTTTCAGTATCAATAGGAGGACTTTCCTAAGAGAACTTTATCAACTTTGTCTTGTAGTCAGCATCCATGGGAGTATTTGATGGCTCACATCCCAACATTCTTGTTTCCTTGAGAAGTTCGAGGGTGAAATTCCTCTGAAATATCATAAGATCTTTTGATGATCTTGCTACTTCCAAACCCAAAAAGTATTTTAATATCTCAAGGTATTTCATCTCAATATTTTCAGCTATACTCCTACATAGGATTTCAGATTCCTCAAAATAGTCATGATATTGTCAATATAAACAAGCAAGACTGCTATATGCTATCTTCCGTTCCATTTCTTGATAATTTATCCTTTATGTTCAATGAATCTTTTTGCTGAGGGCTTTGTAACAATCGACCCTACCACAAGAATCATACTTGTGATAAAGAGACATTTGCACCCTACTGGTCTTTCTCCAATCTCCATCATTCGATGGTTTTTTAGAAGGGAATGGAATGGAGTGGGATGGCTAAACTGGTTAGACTGTTGTTTAGGAGAACACTTTAAAAGGAAGAGGAATGGCTTGAGATGCAATCTATCCTTAGTAATCATAATCTCACTTTTCCAACCCCTCAAGTTGGGGGGTCAAAGATGGAATGGTTTGAAACAAATAACACTATCACAAAATTACCCCCATTCTTTAAATCTTAATACCCCCTCCCGCTCTTCCTTCTCCTCCCAGTCTCAAAATGGACAAGCATAATCATAACTAATTTCATTGCATAAATTTTGATAAAAATTATCAAATAGTGGTCAAATGAAACCCTTTCTTTTCTTAATAAAAATCAAACAATTGGGCAATCCATCACATCCCACTCTACTCCATTCCATTCCATTTATAATTAATCTGTTCCATTCCATGCTAAACTCAAACACACATAAAGCATCAAGACCACATATGCCATTCTTTTCAATGGAATTTGTCTTCACAAACATGGCCTTTTTCATTCTTCTTGCTTGAAAGCTTCATTTTTGGGGCACCCTATCACTAGATATCTAAGCAGTAAAAGCTTGATAAGCTGGAGATAATTTATCAAGTCAACAAACCAGCCAAGAAGGGGTTAGTTCAGGTTTTGAATCCTTTCCTCAAAGCTAATAGGAATTTCTAAATCATCATATGCAGTTTTAAAATTCATATCTAGACCTTGAGATGAGTTGTCCTGCATATATGGGCTAGGCTCTACCTCTTGAACCATCTTCATCTTGGTGTAGGCTAACAAATTTGGTGAAAAACTTCTCTTTATTATTTCACTACTACTATTTGTAGAAGCTAGCTATGCTATTTATAAGAGTACATCAACATAGAGTAATAAATGCTATCTTAACCTCTAACCACCAACTACCAACTAATCTAATCTATTAAAGAAATAAAATAAATTTGCACTATTTAACTACACATTTTAACACTCCCCCTCAAGCTGGAGAGTGGATGTCATCCATTCCCAACTTGGATGCTAATATATGAAAATATTCACTTGATAATCTTTTTGTGAGTATATCTGCCAATTGATCACCAGAAGGCATGTAGGGAGTACAGATTAGACGACTTTCCAACTTCTCATTGATAAAGTGTTGATCAATTTCAACATGCTTGGTTCTATCATATTGTATAGGATTATGAGCAATGTTGATAGCTGACTTATTGTCACAATAAAGTCTCATTAGACCTTCCCATTTGATTCTCAAATCTGATAAAATTATCTTTACCCACAACAAGTCACAAATTCCAAGTGCCATAGCTCTAAACTCAACTTTAGCACTAGATCTAGATACTACATCCTGCTTCTTACTCCTCCAAGTAATGAGATTTGAGCCAAGAAACGTACAATATCCTGATGTAGACCTTCTAGAATCCATATCCCTTCTATGATCTGCATCCGTGTATGCTTCAGGAGTCAATTTTTCCCCTCTCTTGAACAAAATGCCTTTCTCGGATTGCCTTTTAAATACTCAAGTATGTAATAAACTGCTTGTAGATGAGGTTCTTTAGGATTATGCATAAATTGACTTACTACGCTCACAGTATAGGCAATGTTTGGCCTTGTGTGAGCTAGATAAATCAATTTCCCAACAAGTCTTTGATAGGATTCCTTATTGACAGAAGGCTTTGAAGGAGGAGGTTTGTTGTGCTTATGACTTTCTTCGGTTTGCCAAGACGTTTTCCTTCCTTACAAAGTCCGTGATTCTATTCAATTGGAGTGTCCATAGCTTTGCACCCTGTTGTTCTGTTTCAATGAGAAGGTCAAGAATTTATTTATGTTGGGATATGAAGACATCATGCTTAGAATGCGCTACTTCAATGCCCAAGAAATATTTCAACCTCCCTAAATCTTTCATTTGAAATTCTTTCATTAGTTGACTTTGTAAAGACTGAATCCCTTGCAAATCACTCCTGTTACTATGATATCATCAATATAAACAAGTAAAATTGTTACTCCCTTTGAAGAAGAATGTTTGATGAACAAAGTGTGATTGCCTTGATTCTGTTTGAACCCCATGCCAACCACGGCCTTTGAAAACCTGCCAAACCATGCCTTGGGTGATTGTTTCAAGCTGTACAAAACCTTTTTTAGCTTGCAAATAGTACCAGGAGGAAAATGAGAACCAAATCCAGAAGGAATCTCCATATAAATCTCTTCCTTTAAGTCAACATATAAGAATGCATTCTTCATATCAAACTGTAGCAATTCTTAGTCGTAGAGAGTTGCTAAAGATAATAACATACGGCAAGTATTCATTTTCACAACAGGAGCAAAAGTTTCTTCATAGTCAAGCCCATATGTCTGAGTATATCTTTTGGCAACAAGCTGAGCCTTGTATTTGTCTAAAGAACCATCAGAATTGTATTTGGGAGTAAAGACCCACTTATACCCAACAAGCTTCTTTCCTTTTGGTAATGGAACAAGATCCCATGTATTGTTCTTCTTAAGTGCGTCCATTTCAACCTTCATTACCTTAACCCTTTTCTCATCTACTAATGCCTCAAATACAGACTGTGGTATTGAGATGGGATGAAGACAAGTAAGGAAAGTTTTGTGATTGCAAGACAATTTCTCCTAGGAAAGAAACGAAGATATTGGGTATAAGGATTTTTTGGTACAATTGCAGGTCCCCTTTCTCAAGCAATAGGTATATCTGAATCGAGTTGATTTTGAATTATTTTCATATACATCCTAACTATCATAAACATCATGAGAACTTGAAGGAATTTCAGTGTTTTTAAGAAGATCAAGAGTTACCTCACAATTTTCATGCATGGGTTTAGAAGTTTAAGCAGGAGTCATTTTAGATGATTGGACTTGTGTGGGCTGAGATATTCTCTTCTTTCGAGTGAAAACCTATGTAGTAGATGAGTAGATTTAGGAGTTGATGGTGCTTCCAAAGTCTTACTAGGTAAGGAACTAAGAAGTTCGTTGACAAGAGGATCATGACTTTGGTCCTCACTAAGAGGGCTCTCTCTTTCAAGAGGGGTATTGAAATAAGAATCATATTCGGAAAAAGTGATATAAGTAGACATAAAAAATTCTTAGAAGGAGGATGATAACACTTATAGCCTTTTGAGTAGAGGAATACCCAATAAACGCACATTTAAGAGTTTTAGGGTCAAGTTTAGTCCTTTGTTGAGAATACACATGAACAAAGACCACACATTTGAATATTCTAGGTATAAGACTACTTGATGCATTAAAATTAGGGAAAAATTGGGTAAGAACATCAATAGGACTTTTTAAACCAAGGACGGGGTTGGAAGTCTGTTAATCATGGGTGTAGTAGTTAAAACAGTTTCTCCCCAATATTGCTTAAGCACATTAGTTTGAAACAATAAGGTTCTAGTAACATTAAGAATATCACTATTTTTCCTCTCAGCCACCCCATTTTGTTGGGGAGTATTAACACAGGATGATTCATGTATAATTCCATGTGTATCAAAAAATATGGACAATGATTGATTAAAAAAATCTTTTACATTGTCAGACCTAAACCTTTGTATCCCAACTCCAAATTGAGTTTTAATCATGTTATAAAAAGTGGGAAAAATAGTACTAACATTAGCCGTTTTGTTTTAGCAAATAAATTCATGTTGCACTAATGCAATCATCAATAAAGAACACAAACCATCGAGACTTGGTAACATTAGGGACACTAGAGGGACCTCAAATATCACTATGAATCAGGCTAAAAGGAATAAAAGTTCTTTTATTGCTCATAGGATATGAAGATCGTTTATGTTTTGCAAACTCGCAAACATCACAATGAAAGGACTCAATAGGTACATCTTTAAACCAAGAAGGAAAGATACTTTTCAAAACATTAAACGAAGGGTGACCCAAATGACGATGATAAAGCTAAATCTGATCTTTTCTAGACTTGACTTTTTTGACCGAGAAGAGGAGGAAGCCATCAAGCTTTGAATCCTACTACATTTACTAGGCTCATAAAAAAAATAAAGTCCATCTCTTTTTCAGCAAGTCCAATCATTTGATTCATCTCTCACTCCTGAAAAAGACGAGAGAAGAGAATAGGATATAACAATCAAAATCAGTAGCAAGTTTTTCATAGAGATAAGGTTTGTGCATAGTTTAGGAACATGCAAGACATTCTTTAGGAGAAGACTATCACTTAATCTAACATTTCATTGACCAGCCACAGTAGCTATAGACCAGTCACCTCACATGATTTTTCTAGTACTAGACATAGACTATAAGATACGAAATTCTTGAAGGAATTTGTCAAATAGTTTGGGGCTCTAGAATCCACAATTCAAGAGTGAAGAAAATCTTGTTTTGAGGCAATAAATGTAGATGAAAATAAGATAAATGAAGGCTGAAAGGAGATATCTAAGAACCCTAAAGAATAGATACCTGTACTAGAATTAGAAGTAGTTGTCTTGTCAAGTGACTCTAGCATAGATCTTAGTTTCTCAAATCTCCCCCTTAAAGGTCAGTCTGACTAGAATTCTTCCTAATAGAATCGGTGGCCACATGAGCTTGTCCTTTTTCATATTTGCAGGCTTACCATGCAACTTCTAGCACTTCTCCTTGGTGTGCCACAGCTTCTTGCAATGAGAGTATCGAATAGTTCTTTCTTGGAAGAGTCCCCTCGTTTCTCATTTTCCACAGACACATAATAAGAAGCAACATTCCTTGAAACCAGGGCAGAGCTTTTCATAGATGGAGTTTCCATCATCACTCTCGATGGCCTTCTTTTGCTAATATAATGGCAATGGTCTCATTGAGAGAGGGAACATCTTCCCGACTAAGAATTTGAACTCTTATAAGATTAAATTTTGAATTAAGCCCAACAAGATACGCAAAAATTCTTTGCTTCTCAATGAGACGTTTAAAGGTAGCTGCATCATCAGGATCTTTCAAAGTAATACACTGATAGTAGTCTAATTCTTGCCACAAACTCTTCATAAGGGTAGAGTATTCAGTGACAGATTTACTGCCTTGTTTGGTATTGAAAATCTTGGTCCGTATCTCATAAATTTGGGCAGCATCCTACACCTTCGAGTAAGTCTGATGCACCGTTTCCCTAAATCTCGTTAGCTGAGGATAGAAACAAACACGTGCGACTAACTTCAGGGGCCATAGATTGCCACAACCAAGACATTACCATTAAGTCAGCTTCATCGCAAGCATCGAACTTGGGTTCTCTGGCTTATGACCAGTCCCAAGTAAATGACTAAGCTTCTCTCAACCCTTTAAAAAGGTACGAACATATTGAGACCAAGCTATAAAGTTGGCTCTAGTCAATCGATAAGCAATCGGAATACTTGGCAGCTCCCCATAAACCCCAAATGAGGAAGACCTAGTACTTTTAGATGTGTTTTTTTCATCGAACATGACTAAAACAAGGATAGGAGGAGATTCCGAGCAAAACGGAGGTGACCGGAGGCCAAAAGGAGCCCAGACGTGCTCTCACGCGCTGAAAACACAGCACTAGGCAGATTCAGTCGAGTGGTTCACAGCGGCATGTGCCAGTTGCGGCAGGTAAGGCGGTGGTCCGATGCGTGTAGGCTAAATAGTCTCTGGCAATAGTGGGTCTAACTATTTAGAACCCTAATGCACAAAGACAACTGAAACCCTAACACAAAAAATGAACCCAATCTCAAAGAACTCCAAGCCTCAGACAGGCTCTGATAACATGACAAATTTGGTGGAAAAACTTCTCTTTATTATTTTACTACTATTATTTGCAGAAGCTAGTTGTACTATTTATAAAGTACATCAACAAAGAGTAATAAATGCTATCTTAACCTCTAATCACCAACTACCAACTAATCTATCTATTAAAGAATAAAATAAATTTATACTATTTAACTACATATTTTAACATAAACAATGAGGTTTTTCTGCTGCCAGTTGTCATCTCCATGTTCCTGATTTATAAACCTCTGATAAACATCCAGACAGGTTGTCACCATTGAGGGTAACTGAAACAGTAGGCACATGTGAATGATCAATGAAGGTGAGTGGGCTGCGCCATTACCCTCTGGAAGCCACTTCTGTAGGAGAGCTAACAGTTTCACCGTCACTCATGATAGCTAGATACCTGTATCTTAGCATCAAGGAAAAGCAGCTCGATGAGTCTCATACCATGAAAATATACTGAAAATTCTGAATTCTTCTAAAGCATTCAAATATACATGAATGAGTTACTTTAAATAGCAGATCTAATCTCATAGGATTATGAATTGAAGGCTGAAAAATCAAAGCAGGTTAATTTTTGGAAAGAAATTGAAGATAATCCTCACAGCTGGTAACGGTTAGGAGATGTAAGATAGAAATAACTAACAAGATTTAAGCTTTCCTATTAGGGGTCTCTTCACGCTAGATGATGAAAACTTGACTGGTTTTGTGACCTTATGAGTGGGAGGAAGGAGCGGGACATGGAGAAACTAAAGGGTGGGAAAATCTCGAGAAAGAATTATGTCCATTCCTCTTCATTTGCACCTTATTAATATTTTTTTGGCCTATCTCGAAGTTGAAAAAATTTAATTCCAATTCATGTCTCCGACTAAAATGGACAGTAATTCTCAAAACAGGTAAATCCAACTTGATGAATAGTTAATTAAGTCACTAAAAATTCCAAATCGCCCTGGTTAATCTGAAATATTTCAATAGTTCCATATTCCTAATTAGATTCATATGACAATGATCTCTCATTCCTTATTCCTTATATCTGTAATGTTTATTCCCATTACTCCATTTTTCCTATTCCGTTTCAATCGTTTGAGTAGCATTAATAATACGAAAAGTATTTTAACTAAATGATTGAACGTTTCAATGTTAGAAAAGACCTCTATACATGCCTGAGTCATGTTGCCATTGTGACCATGGTTGATTGGAAATTCACTTTTGTTTTAATTGACTCTATTATATATTGGTGACAGAATTTAAGCCTCCAGATTCTGCTTCAATTGACATAAAGGCCTTACAAAAAGTTCCATCATCTGGTGCAAGGTCATCAGCATCTGATCATGTACAAACCTTTGATGATAACGAGATTGCAAATCGTCTAAATGCTGTAAGAAGCAACTCGGTTCGTGCTGTTCATTTTCCATTTGCAGATCTGCGGGCTGCTACTGGTAATTTTGCATCAAGTCGTCTTCTCGGTGAAGGATCCATTGGATGTGTTTACCGGGCAAAATATGCTGATGGAAAGGTATTTTCTGCTTGATTAGGTCATGTATGTATATACTAGTAATAGGCTCTTTAATGTGTGGACATGACAGAATTTTATAATTTAATAGATTTCATAACTATTGATTAACTTGGTAAATTCATGATATGAATTGCCAATTGAGCTGCCTGTACTCGATATTTTTCAAGTATTGACTTGAGATTTTTCTAAGTTAATATTCATACTTCGCCTTCTGTTTTTTTTTTTTTTCTGTTGAGAAAAAATAAATTATAAGTTCAAGCTATTCCTTCCTCTAAACAAGCATGAATGTGGTCTTAAACATTTGGTAGATAATTATTTGTAAAAGCATCACTACTGCTGCTTATTGGACTTCCAGAGCGGATATGCCACACCTATATATTAATGTGGGAACAATCTTGGATGTACATAGAAAAAAGAAAAAGTTGATTTTCCACTTAGAGTGATTTGTACTTTTTTGTTTTTTCAGGTTTTAGCTGTGAAAAAACTTGACTCCACCCATTTCCATGGCAGCTCTCCAGAGGACTTCTCTCAGATTTTATTCAAAATTTCCCAGGTTCACCACCCGAATATTGCTGAGCTTGTTGGTTATTCTTCAGAACAAGGAGACAACATGTTAGTATATGAGTGTTTCCAAAATGGCTCTCTTCATGAATTTTTACATGTGTCAGACGACTTCAGCAAGCCACTAACATGGAACACTAGAGTCAAAATTGCACTAGGCACCGCTCTAGCAGTTGAGTAAGTGGACAAATTCTTTAAGACCATGTAATTGTTTTTTGCTGTTTTGTTTTGGGAGAATGACAGAGGTCCCAAAAGGACCAATTAATTCAAGTTAGGTCTTAAGTGTCAAATTTCATAAATTTGCAACTCAATTTCTCAATTTTGCAATTGCATTGTAATGAATTTGCAACTTGTTTTTTAAATTTTAACATGGTTGAAGAATAAAAAATTTATTTTTCCTATTAAAACTTGGAATACAAGTTACAAATTCATTACAATGGAGTTGCAAAATTGAGAGATTAAGTTGCAAGTTTCTGAAATTTAGCACTTGGGATCTAACTTGAATTAATTGATCCTTTTGGGACCCTTCTATCATTCTCCCTTTTGTTTTCCCCCCCCCCTTTTTTTTTCCCTTTATGAACAAGGCTTTCCTGCATAGAGATAAGGTTTGACAATTTGAATTTATGTACTCGTAGAGTTTATGCAGTGTTGTGCACGTTCTTGTGAAATAGGAGTACTTCATAACCTGTGTCTGGTGGTCTTCTTTATTTAACTTTGGACTATACGTCCATCAACATATTAACATATGAAAAGCTCTCGTTTCTAAGATATGTTGCATGGAAATTTCTTCCAGATTAAACATTGACTGCATGTTAGTAACAAACATTGAGTGAATATTATCATGACTGGCACTATTCATTTATGAGATACAATTTGTTCTACATTAATACTCAGGTACCTGCATGAAATTTGTTCTCCATCTTTAGTTCACAAGAACATCAAGTCTTCCAACATACTGCTTGACAATGAACTCCATCCCCATCTCTCAGACTATGGTTTGGCATCCTTCTATCAGGTTTCCCATTTCTCATCCCTCAAGTATTGTGAACTTATTTTCTCTTTGTGAGTGCCGCAGTCTTTTTTTTTTTTACATTATTATATTCCTGAAATGGGAAAGATTAAAAGTGCACAATTTTCTCCTGCTTTTGCTACTGCCTTATTATGTTTTTTTGTTATTTGTTGAATCTACTTAAGATTGAGCTCAGCTTGGTCTTGATGTTTGTTTCATCAGTCATATTCCTTTATATGAATCCCATCAAACCCTTTCAGTAAAATAGTGATGATAGTCTATTTGAAGTGCCGCTCATAGTTGAATGCTCTCTGTTAGAGCTGCTTTGGAAATATTGAAGAAGCTGTATTTTATGTTATGGGTCAACCTCCATCACTATCTTCCTTTCAAGGGTTTGGTGAGCTCAAGTGTATTTTGAGAATTCTTGAGGACTCTGTTCTAGTTGATTAATGGTGGATTTCAGCTTATCATGCTTCTCCAAGAGTTTCTGATCTTCTCATTTAAGATTTGAGAAAATTGTGGTCATAGTCATGCAAGTGTCACATTGAGTGTCTATCAAGTGTTCCCTTCTTGATAGTTGACTGACAAAAAAAGCTTTCTCTTCTTGATAAGGCTTCTGCCACTTCTCTTTCTCCCTTGCATATCTTAGTCCAAAACCCACAGTTTTATGGATCCATTTTCACTATTGTGGAAATATCACCTGCTTTAATATGTATTTCATGGCTAGGTTATTTGTTTTGGTAATAAAGTGCTTCCCATACACATAATGCTTGCACTATTTCACTAAAAAGAAAATATTTAAATATTTTTTAATCCCTTTTAGAACTTGCAAAAGGAATTCTGCGTCCATTTCATTACTTGATTTGGTCAGGCGACACTGGGCTGCCAGGGCTGGTGTGCACCACAAATTTAGATTGCTCGCTTATTTTGCAAAAGCCTGCCTTCGTCTAGACAGCATTGTCTCTTTACGTCTTGACTAAAACGCTCCTATTCATTATAAATCTTTGTTTCTTCCCAGCGCACTAGTCAAAATCTTGGGGCAGGATATAATGCACCTGAGTGTTCAAAACCTTCAGCCTATACCCTAAAGAGTGATGTGTTTAGTTTTGGGGTAGTCATGCTGGAACTGTTAACTGGTCGAAAGCCTTTGGACAGGTAAGTCCATATGATTCCTTTTTTGGGACTGCAGTGTTCCATGCAATACAGATTTAAATCCTCTGGAGTTGAGATTCCTGAATTTCGGTACAGTTTTCCCTTTTTTAGTGTCTTTTTTATTTTATTATTTTATATAAAATATAAAATCTTTTTCTTTCTTCTGTGATGTTTTCCTTTGTTTTTTTAGTATTTATATGAAATATAAAATCTTCTTTTTCTTTTTTAAAAAGGCTAAGATCTCAACTTCAGATGATTTAAATCCCATGCAATTCCTCAATGTCATATGTGAAAATGCTTTGTTGCTTCCTTCTTTCTTAATCTTCAGGTCAAAGCCAAAAGCAGAACAATGTCTTGTTCGTTGGGCCGCCCCTCAGCTTCATGACATTGATGCATTGGAAAAAATGGTGGATCCTGCCTTACGAGGACTTTACCCTCCTAAATCACTCTCAAGGTTTGCTGACATCATCGCTCTCTGTGTTCAGGTGAGTCATGTTGTGAACCAGGACCTGAATCTACTTCGTTTTTATTCTCAATGATAGTTTCTCAGTGGCGCAAAAGCATTTTTTTTTAGGACATGATTATGACTGCATTAAGTTCTAAGAATGCTAAAACATATATTTTCCTCTTGTTTCTGACAGCCTGAGCCGGAATCTCGGCCACCGATGTCGGAAGTGGTTCAGGCATTGGTAAGACAAATTCAGCATTCAAATATGAACATGAGAGAAGATATGGATGGCTGGGATGGATGATGATAATGAGTGATCTTTTATATGAAAGTTAGATGTCACCCTCTAAGTAGTTGCAGATGAGTTTCAACTTTCCACTTCCTAAGCTTAGATTATTAATTTCAAATTTAAAATCACATAGAAATGTACAATGTAATTCATGCATCTTCTTCCTTGTTCAAAGTTTACTTCATAAGAAAAAAATGTTGAGCTGTTTCCTTCTAATCTTGTCTTTTATAATGATATCTACGAAAGTAAATACGTTTTTCAATTACAACCGAGGTGGTCAAGATTGAAACGCTCCCTCATGAGTGATCATTATGGTGGTATTAGTTCTATCTCATGTTGCTTTCTTCCTCATAAACTAGCCACTTACATGAACGATAGCAACCAGTTTAAATTGTAAAACAGGAATTAAAAAGCTGGATTTTGGAATTGAAAATCTCAATCTTGATGGGCTTGTTTAATATACAGAGAATATAAAATGAATGAGAACAAGCTATATAGCTCCAGGGGTAAAGATGTTCCTCAAGTGTGGAGGAGGTCATGGTTTTGATATATACAATTAGAGCTAGTAATTTGGTTGACTAGGCTTATTTAGGATGGGTTTAATTCAAGCCAGGTTTAAATATCTGAATATATAAAAGAAAAACTTGTATAGCTAAATTTGGTTTTGGGCTAACTTGAATACTTGAATGGTTAAAAATTATTTTATTTTAGCTAATTTTAATTTTTACCTTAAGGGTAAGATTTTTCAAGCCACATATTACTATAACAACTTTTTCCCCCTACCCTTACTATTGAGACTAAATATTGAAAAAAGTAAAAATAAAAGTATATGAAGTAAGTTCCCCTTTTGTTTATATTTTCTTAATGTTTTCAATAAAAATATTCAAAACAAATAATTATTGGAACATGAAAACTTCATTTAAGAGTGTGAAATGTGTGAATTGAGTTTGAGAGAGGATTTGTGAGTGTTAAGTGAAGGCTACTTTTATGAAATTTCAGTATTTGAGTTAAGTATATTTGGGTTTGAACTTATTCATGTAGTCCAAATAAGTTTGAAATAAAGAAAAGAATTATGTACTCTCAAGTCTGAATCTAAGACTTGGTTTTTCAGATCTATTCAAACTGATTCATCATGCTTAGCCTGAATTATTGATTCTAAATATAATAGGGTTGGTTTAGCTCTTTTTCCAATTAAAATACATATAATGAATAAAGCATGGAATAAAATAGAAAATTTAAAAAATTTTAGATATAAATTATGTTCATGTTTTTATTAATACAATAATTAAAAACGACATTGAGAAATTATGAGAGACAAATAAAATTGGCAAAAAGAAGTTTCAAAAGATAAATGAGATAGGCCTCAATGTACCAATTGGCTCTTTGGCAAACAGGTTTTTTCTTTTGTTTTTTTTTTAAGGACCTTCTTTGGCAAGATATGTGGGTTGAACTGGGTTCAAATTTATCATCTAACAATTTTTTTATGAGTGGATTATTTATAAATATCTTGTTAATACTTTTTGGACCATAGCAATTGTTTAGATTTTGGTAAGCTACATCAAAGCTCAATTCAGCTAAATTATCTAGCCGCACTAGTTTGAATGAGAGCACTACAAATTGAAGTTGTCAAGATTTGGCAGTAGACAGTACCTAGCAACATAGTAGAAAAGAATTAAATTAAAATTTAAAAGCTTTACCATGGTTAAAAAAATAATTTTCTTTAAATATCACGTAATTTCAAAACTAATTAACTATCATGATAAAAGAGTCTATGATGGTAGAAAGAGTTAAATTTAGTAAAGAAGGCCTAACATGATCATTAGAAGTGTTTTTTAAAATAATAAAAGCGTACAGGAGATCCCGTTTTAACACAAGAAATTGTAATACAGAATTCTAAAATAAATCTCATTAATTAAATGTAATAATAAGGTTCACAAGGGTATGCCAGTCCAAAAAATAGTTTAGAAGGGTAAAAGGGTCCCAAAAGTGTTGTTACACATTTAAAATTTATAGAATGACATTTTTGAAAAATAATATGCACATGCAACGATGCACCATCTGTGGTGGCATAGGATACAGAGAGTTCATTTTTCCTAGACATATTCAATTAGAGACATTCAAGTATTTACACGAATCTTACAAAAAAAAATTAGCTATTGACTTTGGTTTAATATACAAATATGTACATATGACAATTTTCATGAAAACCCCGCTTGGGTCACAAAACATTTTCCGAATACTGTGCAACCCAAAGCCAATGCTAGACATATTGTGGATACTCGATACTTGAGGTGGCAATGCAATTTGGTTTGCAATTGATCCGATTTTTTCCAAAATCTCAAACAAACCCATGAACTTTGATATCACCTTCTTAGTTTTAATGGCTTTTCTAATACTGGTCACTAGGAAAACTCTTATAAATACATGGTCACTAACTTTAAATTCAAGCGATCTCTTTATCTTATTAGCATAACTCTTTTATCAACTTTAAATTATAGTAACTTTTGCTTAATCATGACAATTTTTTGTGTGGTTTGATCAACAATTTCTAGAGCAATGATACTCCTTTCACTCTATTCTACCCAACATAAGGGGGATATACACTTTCTCCCATACACTGTCTCATAAGATGTCATATGAATACTTGAATAAAAGCTGTTGTTGTAAGCAAATTTGGCTAATAAGATATGACTATTTTAACTATCTCTCAATTTAATGGCACATACCCTCAATATATCTTCCCAGGTCTAAAAAAATTGTTTAGACGGGATATTATCCCGCCTTTTAGTATAAGATGCTTAGTGCTTCTAAAAAAAAAAAGACAAATGATCTTTAATCCAACATAATATATTACATAGACCTAATTTGAAATCAAAAATATAAAGAAATGCAAATTGATTTTTTTAAATATAATAAGGCTAAAGTATACTTCTGGTCTTATAACTTTATACAAAGTTTTAATTTTATTCTTTTAATTTTATAAAGTATCTTTTCAATTCCCTAACCTTGACATGATTAGTTTCAAATGATTATTTTTTGTACCAATACTTGTTATTTTAAAAAAATTAAACATAACATGTTAATTATTGAGAATGTTTTGCTAATATTTAAAAGTTGAATGTAAAATTTTTTTATGATATAACAAACGGTGTTAAAATTGAAAGATTACAAAGATACTTTATAAAATTAATAGACTAAAATAAAACCTTATGTAAAATTAAACGACATACTTTAGCCATATAATAACCATGCTCTCAGGGGCGGAGCCAGAAAATTTTATTAGAGGTCAAAATGATAAAGTATAAATGATAATAGAAATAAAATTAAATATATATCACTAACATAACATAAATATTTTAACATATATATTTATATTTAATTTTAGATATATATATATATATATAACAAAAATAAATATATACATTTATTTTTTTTTAAATTTTACTCATCAATTTTTCATGGCATATGAATAATTGATTATCATATCTACAATAAAATTTTTAGTAGTTTCCTTCTCAATATAAACTATCATTACTTCGGCAAAGATTTCATCTTTCCTATGAGTGTTTAATAATTTAAATGCATTATTGGGATATAAAGTTTTGTTCAATATAAAAAACTCTATTGCTTATTGAATGTACTATTTAATTATTTTAATTGATAATTATAATGAATAAATATATCAACATAGTAATGATGTTCAATTATCACAACTAAGTATATCATAGTAAAAACTATTTATATAATAAATTTTAATAATTTGGTTATTACATAAAAATTATTATTTTTTAGAAGAACAATCTCAACCATAATCTCTTAATTTTTGGATAAATGATTTTATGGTAAATATCAAGCACATAACATTTAATATATTTTAGGATTTTTGTTTTAGTGCTTGATAAAATTTTTTAGTAATTTCTCTCATCAAATATAAAATAAAAGCAAAATCAAATGAAATCAATACTTTTAGAGTAACTATAACATTATCTTGTAAAAAATAAGGTTCCATTTGCTTAATAGAAATAAATGTAATGAATCACATGTTTTGCACACTTTTATTTTATATTTTTGATCATATTTCATTTATTTAGACTTTTATATGCATGGTTTTAATATTGAATTTTATCATCGGTTCATCTGCATTGAGTTTTGGTATTAGGAGCATTTTGTTCATTTTATACATTTTATTGAAATTAATTATTTTTAATTTAGAATTTCAATTTGACGACACATTTTATTACTTGAGTAATTTTTATTTTCATTTGTATGACTTTATTGGTTCAATTTCATTAAGTTGGTTTAATTTTAGTGACTTTATGTTTTTAAAAAATTAGAGGGCCAATTTGGTAACTTTCTCATTTTATTTTAAATCAGATTTTTGAAACACGGAAGAGAGGGAGGCTGGACAAAGAACGAAGGAAAACAGATCGCACACGTCATCATCTTCTTAGTTGAGCCATTCACGAAAAAAAAAAAATATATATATATATTAGAACGTGGACGGAGGGGAGATCATCTCACATGAAAACACTCATCTCTCACGGAGCCTGAGTTTAGCCATTGACGGAAAACGCTCATCTCCACCGAGCACACGAACACTCATTCCCCTCACGCCACAGAGTTCATCGCACAGCTCCCTCATCTCCATCTTTCCTCTCGGTCACACAGTTTCGTCGCTGAAAATCACTCATTTTCCGTCGCACTTCATCGCAGAATCTCCCTCTCTCGGTTTCAGTTCGTTCACGCCGTCGCACAGCTTCTCTCAATCTGAGGTTGCAGGATCCGCGACCACCACCACCGCACAGCTGCCGCGCTTCTTCCTCTGATCAGTGTCACAGCCTTCATTCATCCACAGTTCATTCAAGCAAGCGTCCATTGCAGCTTCTTGTGGATCTTTTCTTCAGTCAATGGCTATGGAGAGTGAGATGAGAGGTTAAATCTCTAATGATTCTCTAAGATGATGAAGTTCCACTTGAGTTTCAGATTCTTTTGATTTCGGTTCTGTGTAGCTCAAATTTGATTTTATTTCTTGTTCTGATTTCGAATTCAATTCATTGATTCTGGTTAAATTAATTGAATCAATTTGATGTCATTTTACTTATTGAGAATCAGGTCGCTTTTGTTTACATTTCCATTGAATTTGTGCAGCTCAAATGTTTGAGTTTATGCATTAATAGAGCACTATATCTTCCTCTACACCCAGCACC